GCCCAATAACAGTTATGCTCCCTCTCTCTTGAAATATATCGTTGTGCTGATCACGCGAAGATCACTGTTTTGGTTTAGCCTCTTTCTTCGATACATATATAATACAATCACATTTTGGTCGGCGAGCCAGGATACCGAGTCGGTGATGCTGACGCAAGTTTCACCGTGTAAGAGAATTGCGTCGATGCCAAGAAAATATTTATTTTCCAGCGTCATTTTAGAAGTCCGTTTATTGTTTGCCTGACTGTGTGTAAATTCCGTGATGGAAAATGATCGGCAATTTTGGGAAGAGTTCATAAACATTTAGTCCGCTGGCTCATGTACTTCTAGCTCTCCCAATAAATTTGCATTTGAATAACGGTTTCTTTCTATAAACCATCTCTTGGAGCATATCTTTTTGGATTTCCTTTTTCTTTCATGGAGTATGAATTGTGCCTCAACTATTGCCAATAAAACTGGTTTTGGCAAAAAGGACCTCATTCTAGTCATTAAGCAAATAATAACGCACTATAGGTAGTTTTTAAAATAACTTCACACTATTGTTCTTGTGTTGCATGAGACATCGAGACAATTCAGGCATCGCAACAGGTTTCGATTTAAGTAGGCGCTTATGCAACTAATGCATATTTCATGAAACGTTGAGTCGATTCAGGCATCGCAGCATACAGCAAGGTGTGTACGCCGCTTTAGATTTTTGACAATGTCATAATGCGTGTCGAAAGCATGGGGAGTCCTCATATGGGAGAATGGGAAACAGTGCGGTGTTGCTGAACACAAACTAACAACACTGTTGGCATCCAGAAAAAAATGGCGGCTTTGAAAAGTATGACAGTCTTTTTTAGTTAACCTCTTTCATTTGTGGCCGGCTGGATGTTTGGAAGGTAGGTTGGCTCGAGTAAAGATAACATGGCCACGCAAGACAACTATTGAAATATACTCTACTAGAGTATCCGTAGCTAAATTTTTCACAACATCGTTGCACAATACTTAAAAATATGCAAATGAAGATTGGAAAACTGCCGCAGTGACATTCTGAATAACTCCATCGCTACCCCGGGCCCGGGATATACATACGTTTTGAAGAAAGTTGATCTTGTCACCTGGATTGCGGCATTGCCAGCTCATCGGACGATTTTGCTACCTCTGCTATCACGAATTCCTTGGACCCGAAGCGACTCGATGTTTACGTTGACCGGTAGCAGACGCGCGGAGTGGGAGCTGGAAAGGGGCATGGCTGTACTACCCGGCCGTACCGTATCGCCGCAGCGAGGTACACCACTCACAAGCTTCAGTCTCTCGGTATCCGTCGTTGCAGCGGAATGTCTAGGCGTTCACAGCTCCGTGCAGAGCTCTATCCGGCTTAGCTACTTTTTTTCAGTAGTGGTGTTAACTATACGGTTCTCGATTGTCTCTCAGTGGTGCCTTGGTGTTGTGACGTGGGCGTCAAGTGTCTCCAAAGTGGAAATTAGGTCTAGCTCCAACTCTTCTGAGGGAAACAGGATATCTGCGCAACTAACGAGGTGAGCATTGCATACTAATCTAGTTGTGTGTTAGGGTTGGGAGATTAGTCATATATACTGAGGTATATCTCAAATGCCAGATCAATATTAGTCAAAGAATCACTTCCAAAGCGACTCATTTTCACTACATAAGCTGACTAGCACTGTTTAAAAACAATATTCAGCTTAGCGGAGTTTTCTGCTGTCCTAGGAGGCCATAATTGCTTGCTATCAAAGGTATTGTAAATTTTGGTGACAACAGCTGTCAAGTTTTGCCGCGGGTAAACTGGAAAAAAATGCTGACAGGTACTTTCATACAATTTTTCCATCTAGAAACCATTTGTAATTCAAAATTCCGCGTTTGTGATTGGTAGAAATTAATATGAGGGAAATAGTCGTCATGAAAGCGCAGGATAAGTTTCAGCTGCTACATTAACACAAAAACTGGTGCCACGGCTTGACTTGTGTTTGAATGTTTATGGTGGCTATGTTGAAAAATTAAAAAAATGTTCATATTTGAGTTTATGATACAATTTACATTCATAAATAAAATTTATCTGACTGGATTACAAAACGGTTCTTCAATGCTATTTTTTTAGGTTAACAACTGTGGCATGCTGGCGATTTTCGATTGTAAAAATGAAGCCAGAATTGTAGAATGACTTGATTTTTCTTCAGCTGATACAATTAATCTTAACAGTGACGGTTGAGGTTTCCTAGGGTTTTCCTCGCCCAAGTGAGAATGCAGACACTAAAAAACCATATTCCGCTACTAAATGGTAGAGAAAATGAAAATCGTACTTCTTCTTGATCCTGTAATTTTAGATCAAATACTTGATAAATATACTTATATAATAAAAACATTGTTTTTTCTCCAGTTGTTGGAATAGAAAGAAGAAAAGAGCCGGCAATGTCGCATGCGGCGTTCGTGAACAATCTGACAGCCATGTGACATCCAGAAGAAATGGCGATTGACACTGACAGAAGTCGACCGTGTTGCCCTATGGATAGCACGTGACTAAACCTTCTTCAGTGTATAGTCAACGCCAAACAAAGTGGCGTGCACGCCATCACGATAAAAATTCCCCGACCTAATGCCTAGGTTTCTATCACAAACAATTGCTCTATTGCAGTTTCATATTAATGTGATATATAAATAGTAAAATGGTCATTACTCTCTTATTATGGTTAATAGTCATATAAACATTGTTATTAGAATATCACATAAGTTGCTTTCTGATAAATTTAGACGCATTATGCGAAATAAAATGTTTTGCAAACGCTCCAATCACTTATCGACATGTAAACGCACTAAACCGATTTCGCAGCGTTGACACATTGTCACCTTGAAACTTATTTAAACTGGGAACTGACATTTGTATTAATTTTGACACTGAATCAATTTGTGGCATTTCAAATCTTTATAAATCCTTTGGCCCCGCATACTGTAAATCAACAACTGTTGGTTTCAAAACAAAATTATTCATTTTACGAGTAGATAAAGGCAATTTTGGTATATAAAGATGCCCAAACAGTTAAATAGTCGGTGTAAGGAACTCGTGGCCTCGTTAATGCACTACTTTGAGCAAGAAAGGGACAACAACGGGCCTTTGTTGCCTTTAAATGCTGTTCAAGAGGTAGGTTACTAATAATTATATGTAATGTATATTAATAATAGTGAAATTTTATTTCATTTTTTGTAGCGTGTTGCTGCTGCTTTAAAAATTAGTTTAAGGACAGTTAGTCGTATTTCCGAGGGTGTGAAAAGTGATGCAAATTTAGAATCGCCCAAGAAAATGCTGAGTTATATTAAACGTGTAACCAATACAGCGACATTGGATACAAGTGCCACTCGAGAAGTGATCTATAATATGTATCACAAAAGTAAGATCTTATTATAATAACTTATCAGAAATTTGCATTAATTTGTTAACTAAATTATAATGTCATATTACACATGGTTTCAGAAGAACAAGTTACGATACAAACTTTATGGTCTCGATTAAGAGACAGGGCATTATTTGATGGTAGTGCCACGTCTTTAAGGCGGTTGCTTAGAGATCTTGGATTTAAGTGGCTTAAGGACAATCCGCGACGAGGGCTCATGGAACTACCAAGTATAGCTTTGAAAAGGGTGGAATTTCTAAGGCAATACAATCAAGCCAAGGTTGAGGCCTTATACCAGTTTGTCTTCCTCGATGAAACTTGGATATTTCAAAATGGGACCATAGGTCGCTCTTGGCAAAATGGAAACCAAAAAAGCGTGAAAGCTATTAAAACAGATGGTAAAAGGTATGTACTTTTACACAATTTGCACTATAAAATTTAAAACTAATATATTTTAGATACATTATATTACATGCTGGAAATGAAAATGGGTTTATTGAGGGTAGTGAAGCGATATTTTCTTCGAAAACAAAATTGAGCGATTACCATGGAGAGATGAACCAGGACAATTTTTTGAAATGGTTTCAACATCAGTTATTAGAAAAATTGGAGAGTCCATCTATGCTTATACTGGATAACGCCCCTTATCACAGCATGATATTGAACAAAGAGCCCAACAATGCATGGACAAAAAAAAATATCCAAGACTGGTTGACAAATCAAAACATACCATTTTTAAACACAATGTTTAAAACAGAGCTATTGAGTATTGTTGCTCGGTACATAATGCTTCTTAATTATATATATTTTGGTCGACAGTTTATATTTCTTTTGTTTATTCCTATTCTTAAAATAACTGCTTTTTTAGAAACAAACCACCTAAAATATACGTGATTGATGAATTGGTGGAACAACATGGGCACAAAGTTCTTCGTCTGCCTCCTTACCATTGTATATTTAACCCTATTGAGTTAATTTGGGGCATAGCAAAAGGTTACTATAACAGACATATTGGTAGAGATGGTAACAGTGAAAAAGACTGTTTGGATATGTGGAACGAGGCTCTACAAACGGTTACCCCAGACATGTGGAAAAATAGTGTTCGACATACTGAGCAAGAAATTTTTAAATGGTATGAAAGAGAACGAATTTTTGATCGACCAGACATCGAACCTTTAATAATCAACTTTGAGAGTGATGAAGATTCAGATTCAGACAGCGCTGAAGAAAGAAACTCCGATTAACTTTATTGTACAGAAAAAGCTTACACCAGTAGCTTACCTAATTTTAGAATGCATTTTTCTGTATGAATTCTGTAAAATAAATACCATGCATAAAATTTGGAGGACCCCATTTGGATTTTTATTCAGTACCTTTAAGCTATCAATTAAATATGGTAGTTTCATAGTGTCATCTGATCAATAATTGTCATACTTAATGATTATGCAAGTACAGATCTATAACTTTATTATACTATTATTTTTGTTCTCATTTGAGGTTAATATTGCTTATAAACCTAGATATGTAAATAATAAATTTTATTATTTTCCAAAAAGTTTGGCAACAATGTAAATTTTTCAACACACCCACCTTGATGACGTGCACGCCACTTTGTTTGGCGTTGACTATATATGTTTTGTGCTCAGTGTTATATGGTGTATGGTGTGTTCTGTGGTCACAACTTAAAATTCAAGTTAGGTTATGTTATGAAACTAAAAAATTTAATAATAAAAAATATTCCTCTTATGGTATTTCGTTGTTGTACCTGAAGTTTTGTAATGCTTTATCCACATTTTCTCCGTCGAACACTATTAAACCGTATGTAATACACTTATATTTTTTTACATACTTCAATCTACTATAAACAAGGCCATTTCTACATTTCTAGGCAGTATCAAGAGCATTAGCAACATGTCTTCGAAACCAGTAGAGCAGTCGATCCGAAAGAAATTAACAGAACACTTAGAAGTCAGTCATTTAGAAGTTATTAATGAATCATATATGCACAATGTTCCAAAAGGGGCAGAAACCCATTTCAAAGTTGTAGTGGTGTCCGATAAGTTTGATGGTGTTCCCCTGATCAAAGTGAGTTTTGCTAAATTTGAAAGCAATAGATGCCAAATAATTTATGGTCATACTTTTGCATCAATTTCAAAAACCAACAGCTAACGGAAATAAGATCTTGATAACACTAAAAGTAGCTGAAATAACTCGGAGCCCTTTAGTACCCAGTCGACCGAGTACCGTGTTTTCTAAGTAAACTAGTACTGGGTGCATCCCATAGTTAATGACTGAATTAGTCTTATTTGTCCATCGACCCTCAATTTTGTTTGGCATAAAAAGGTACATGGGACAAACAGTGGGCTCTCATGCAAGCACCACCTTTTATTTTTGTGGGCATTGGTACTTGACACTTTTTTTAAGCAGGTCTTAAATATTTTTTCTATTAAACTGAAAAAATCTATACTATTTTCAAATTTGTGCTTTCTGTTTCTGCGAATCCAACGTCCACAATTGTTTTTTCAAGAAAACAATAACTTTTTACGCTGATTAAGATGAGTTTTTTTAGAAATATATAAGGAAGACAACTTTAGTCCACTGACGACGTTTCTTTGTTTACAAGTTTGTATGATGTCACATCATGGCTATATATATATATATACAGGGTGTCCGCAAAGTTGGGGTTTTCCTTTACATGACGTGTAGATCTTGAAAACATAAGCAATTTTTCTTAGTACCATATACACCAATGTCTTAAGGGAACCGAGATAAAGGGCTCTGCAACATCAAAAATATCTCAATACCGTCCTGTAGCCGCGACATCCCCGACTGGTACTAGGACACTAGCTCAACCCTTCGACAGAACTGGGTCGGGGTCAGTGTGTCAGGTCAGTATGCAACCTTCAACCGACGGTTACGGCCACGCGTCTAGAGGTAATCGCGTAGACGAGAATCCCTCAACAAGCACTAGAGACGTGGATAGAGAAGTGCAAGTATCAAAAACTAAAGTGTGGCAAACGCTGCGTGAAGAGGGGCTGTATCCGTTTCACGTCCAACGTGTACAAGCCCTTCAACCTGGCGATTTTCCAGCAAGAGTGCGGCTTTGTGAGTGGTTGTTGCATCAACATGACAATAATCCGGACTTTTTGAAGTGCATATTGGTGACAGACGAATCTACGTTCACGCGTAATGGGGTGAATAACTTTCGCAAAACACTCATGTTTGGTCAGTAGAAAATCCGCACGCTGTCCGTAGGGGAAAATTTTCAACAAACATTTTCGGTGAATGTTTGGGCTGGCATGGTAAACGGTATGCTCATTGGACCATTTATTCTCCCAAATCGATTGGACGGGATGCAATACCTAGACTATTTACCCAACATTTTACCTTCCTTGTTTGCCTGCGTCTGCTCGGTAGCGCATCAGCTGATTTCATTTTCTGTTGGAGCGGTATGATTTCGGGCAGAGACGTACTTAGCCCTTCTCGGCAACTGGAGAGTGAGTACTTTTTCCTTTATTTTTTTTACTTGGTCGCCCTCGTTTCACTACACATTACCTTTGTTATTTCAAGGGTAGTTGTTTCTGAAAAGGAAAACCCCAACTTGGCGGACGCCCTGTATATATATATACTGTTATTAAAATTGTTGTGATTTAACGTACTTTCAGAGGCATCGAATGGTTAATGAAATCTTGAAAGATGAAATACAGAATGGAGTTCATGCTCTGTCCATTGAAGCCAAGACTACCTCTCAGTGGAATAATAGTGACAAAACCATAGATCCAAGTCCAAACTGTAGAGGAGGATTTGGAAAATAAAACAATATCTAATTTAATTGCATTGTATAATTTATAAAAAACAATCAATTAGGCTAATTAGACAAAAATAATGATGTACTGCCCTACCAAGAACAGTATTATTGATTTAATGAATATAATCAACTTTTTTTTTATTGAGGCGCAGCACAATTGAACTGATAGAATCACATACAATATTATAGCGTTGCAATATCATAACCAGAAAATGAAACAGTACATTTTGTATTTGAAATTGCAACCTTTCCATTTTTAACTTAATACCAATTTATTATAATCAGCTGTTGAGGATAACCTCTGCAAAACCAAGCATGCTTCAGTGTCAGAGAACAAAACTGTCAAGTCTCAGTTTACCATCATTCTTTGTCAGATAGATTAAATCTGCAAGGGTCTGATCACAAATTGCCTCTTCTCCTCTATCAGACATCTAAAAATTAAGGTTTTGTTACAATGCTATTCAAATAAATATTAAAATCAATAGTCTTGCTCTGTATCCACTACAATTCAGCAGTTAAATTTTAGCTCTGTCTCCCAGTAAACATGAAAAGATATATTCTCATTCTTGGAGTGTACGATTTGGATACTAAAAGAGATATCCTAATGAAGCATGTTCTCAATACGTGCTGTTCACATCCCTTCAAAGCAGATTCTCCTGACGAACGTTCTAAAAATATACTATTTAAGAACATTCGGATCAGAATTGTTTATTGCATATTCACATAAGGGATATCTATTCGCTGGCATGCTGAGAATATTTATTTTTAGGACCTGCCGATACAAAATATTCTTGTCACGTGACAGTAACATTCTACCAGGTAATCAAAATGGATATTCCTGGCACGTGTTAAGTAGATTCCATAAGGTGATTTTTCGGCCTAGTGCGCATGTGCGAGTGTCCGATCGACTAATGGAATAATAGCAAGCCGCATCGCTTATCGTCTTCCATTTTGTTTTATTCCATGTCTGTGCGTACCTAACGTAGCTTGCATCGTGTGTGTCTCCAAGTGGCAAATTATTTGACAGTGTTTTTTGTTGAAAAGGTGTTTCGTGATAACTGTTCACCTAAATTCATCTGACTAATGAACATTATTGTGACAATTGAGCAAGCTGTTTACGTGATCATAAACTCCAAAAACATCGCCTAATAGGAAGTTTAATTTATAGTGAGAAGAAACTGGCATCTGCAGCTGCTCATGTTGCAAAGACGCAGGAAGTATATGAATAAAACAACAAAAACAAGAATAGACTTTTATAATACGATGGAAGGGCACCTTGAATACACACATATGATATACGCATTGTAATCGCGCAATTTTTTTAAAATGAAGTATGTTTTTTGATGTTATATGACATGTAAATCACGTAAAACTATGTCACCCATTTCCGTAGGTATGTCTGTCTGTCCGCCCATAACTTGAGAAGTACCGTTCGGATTTCGATGACACTTTTACACAATGTTACTGCCAAGGACGCAAAAGCTTTTTAGTTTTTGGAAATCGTTTTTTGAGTTTGATTTTTTGAGAGGATCCCGATATTTGAAAAAAAGGGTAAAAAAAACTTGGGGGTGGGGATTGTAAGAGGGTGGGTAGGAGTTATCTCAATTTTTGTATGCTGGTACATTTATAGGCTCCCAACATTGGAAATTCAACGCACCTATTAGACATCAAAGATTTCTCTGTACAGTAGCCCTGAAAAATATTCTCGGGAGACGTATCGCGTACCTATCGGCTGAGGCTGCTGCTTCACCGACCATTATGAGTGTTCTGGTATGGAATAACACGTATTTCTGCGGCGAAACAGCATAATGTCGCTGGCACGTTAGGTATCGGGGAGAGGCGACGTTTCGAGATGGACTACCGGTAGGACAGGGAAAGAATATCTAGAAACTAAATGTATGGACCTGTTTGACTGACTCTCAGAGGGGCTAGTTTGTGCTGAACATATTCCTGTATGTACTGATAAGGGTGTTGCGTGAGAAGTTCAGAGTCCACCTACTCGACGCCATCTTTTTCTAGAATTTGACAAAATTGTGCGTCACTCAAAGACGGTTCGACTTTGTATATCGATGATCTCAAATCAATACCTCGTAAGTCCGAAAATGTCAATTTTCTGATTATGTTCTGTTTTGATTCCTGTATGCATAAATCGACATTTTCGGACTTACGAAGTATTGATTTGAGATCGCCGATATGTGACTCCATGTGTTCCAAATGGGATGTATTATCACCCCTTTAAAGGACGGTATCAACCTTCAGAACATCCTGTATAAACATGCATTATGTTTCGTATTGATCACTACTAGAAAACAGGGACTGTAAACATTCTTATAAAAAAACATGGCTTTCAAAACTTACAGGTTTATAATTCAAATCTGTCGATGGTGTGCACTTAAATGTAGGTCCAAAATTTACAGACACAGTAACATTTTTGTGCAGAGAGATTGTAGGATAATAGGCTCCTTGGTATATGCCCTCAAATGCTACTCCTTGACATTCACCATTTTTGAAAAACAATATCTTGCTGCCTGGTAATGGTTTAAGAGATTTCAATCGTTCTTGTACGTTGTCCTTATCTTCGTAGTACAGATGACTCTTGAACTTGACTAGAGGCTAGAGAGAATAATGCAGCACATTAGCCACTGATATGATCTATTTGTGATATACATAATTAAATGACCAATGAGGTTTCATTCACATTATGATTTTACACATACCAAGAAAATACAATCTAAGAATGTATAAAAGTCTATAAATTTTATGCTGACTTGTACTGACTATTTAGATAAAATAATATAATCAACAAGATATACTGACCCTGTCTTTATAAGTATTTTGCAGCAATTTTGTACTATTGTTTTGAGGCAACACAATCATAAAGCCTAATGTGTCGCCTTCACCATAACCTGAACTGTAATGTTTCCCATGTGATTCATGAAACTTAGTTCCCTTCTTTGATCTCCATGAGTAACCAAACTTATCATATCCCAATGGTGCCTGCAAGTTGGCATAGTCTTGACCCCAGCCCATTCTAGTTGCAGAGCCCTCAGGCATCTCATCAACTGTGGCCTCAAAGTACCAAATTCCCTTACTGACAGCTAAAACATATTAAAGTTAATAAAAGTTTGGTGTTTCTATTTCGACCATTCATATCTATGCTAAAATTACATAAATCGTTAAAAATTCTTACAATGTGTCGCGCGGACTGTAGAATACCCCTTTTCTCCAGTTACTGCCAACCGGTCTTCAGAAATCTTAAGCTGGGGTGCTCTATCATGTAATGCTAAAAGGACAGTACCAGGAATGGAAGTACGGTATAGCCAACCAGGAATAGGCTTGCCAGCCCAATCTGAGCTTTCATCAAATTCCTGTTGAAAGCGGTAAATGTGAATTTTTAAGAATTTCCATAAATATATTCGCTCTCACGGTATCCGAAAAATAGTGTACAGATGAATATAAATGCTGTATATACATTTTTCCGAAGAGCGCATCCGCAACAGTGAATATGTTTAGTAAACAACTTGAGGCGGCGATGTTCACAGAAAATCATCACTGCCATAGTTCTCTTGTGATTTTTGTACTGACTGCATGATGGCTCAATCAATAACTTACTGTACAAAACGAAAAATTGGCATAAATGAACTTTGGCTATATTCGGGGACCCGTCCCAGTGAACATAGTGATGTCATAATGTAGGGATTTTTAGGCAATTACTGACATACGCCGACCAACAAAAATGACATCATTATGACGGTATAATGTCACATCCAATTGACATTATATGACGTCATAGTAAATATGTCGAATAAAAGACCAAATACAAAGCCCATATGGCGTATGACGTCTATCTGAGGTCGATATGTCGCTCGCAAAAATAACCGCATCATGGTGTATACAAATACTCTTGAAGAATTGAGCATGTTACAACGACGCCCCACAAGCAGTGACTTCAGGAGTTGTAGAAAGGCACCGAAACTCATATCCCACTTATCTACCACCCTTGAACCCTCTCGTTCCGAGACGTCGTTATCACCTCCGCAATTTTTCAGGAGCATTTGTACAAATTGTATGGAAGTGGTAAATAAAGAACTAAAAAACACCGTTTGAGATCGAACACGTCCTCCGATGGTTCAGAACTTGTTTGTAACAATTTATCAAAATCGCTTTACTTTCTCACAGGAGGCCAAAACACATATTGTTTCCCGGAGTCATCCAAGCCTTATTGACACGTGGAAATAGTATCGTCCCAACCAAATTGTACAACGACGTACCTTAAATACGACGAATCCATCGTGATGTCGGTCAGACCCATAGATTGTAAATACAAAATGGCCGACCCAATGCCAAACGGCAAACACGCATGGAGCTTGCGCATCGGTCGAGCTCACCGCAAAGCACAATCGTGCTTCTTCGCTGATGATCGGTTGAATGATAATTCGTTTCAAAATTTGAATTTTTACCGCTCTTGTATAAAAATATTCTAGTAAACCTTGTTTATTATTATACACAGGAGTTTCTAATAACTTTGTTATTTACGGGAATAAAACATGATGAAACATGGCAATTTGAAATATCTGAACATGAAACATTATTATTAGAAAAGTCACATTAATATGACATTTTTGGTCGAAGAATTTCTGTTACTTTTTTATAAATAACAATAAAGTAGTTGTTAGTAAATAGTATGTATTTGGATATCTAGTTTACCTTACTGTCCATTCAAAGTCTATATTTTCTTTGTAGGTAAGTACTGACTGTCCAAAAAAGACGTCAAAATGGCAGCCTTTCAAAGGACGTCTTGTTGTCGTCAATAAAGCCGTCATTTTTTAGTCAATGACGTTTAAAAAAGTCACCGAATAATGACGTCATCATGTTTACTGGGGTGTTTTATCGAACTTATATTATAGCGAGAAAAATTAGAAAACTTACTCAAATATACTTTGTAGTGTATGAAAAACGACTGAGGTGCGGATGACTACGAAATTACTAAATTTTATTTTTTTACTGGTCGATTTCAGGTTTGGTGAAAGCAGTCAGCATGTTGAGTTAGTAGACATCAGTTTAGTTAAACGTAAAATGTGGAATAAACACTGTAATGGCCCTATTATGTGGTAGATACAACTACTTCCAATTAGGTGATGTATATTTTTTATGTATATACTGAAAATCAGAGAAAACTTCGACCTCCTCAGCCCCACATAACCTCGAATGCACTAGCATTGGCCGCGCGCTTTGCCTCAATGGGGAGAAAATTATAGAATATAAAGAAAACTGCTACGCGTGGAAAAATATGTACTCGTAAGCATAATTACACATTTTCTTTCTGGACATTTACACAGTTAAACATTTAAACCTAGCACATTCATGCCAAAATTGCCGCACCTCTATACACATCCTGTTGGACCTCTATAAACTTTTTTCGGCAATGTCAATCACAGAACAAACAAATTTGCAATAAGGTAGAATATTAGATGTCTTGTGGTAGCATTTTTTAGTCAAAACAATATCATTTATAAGGAAAAAAAAATTAGAAAAACTGCAAATTTCAAGATCATCTGTACCTCAATCATTTCTTAAAGCTCACAAATTATGTTTCAACAGTGTATAAAATTCAATAAAACCAGGGTCGGTTTATAATACAAAATAAAAACCTGTCTGAATGGAGCATGTGGATCAGGCTCTGCAAGCAAATATCTGTATCCATCCTTATTAAATGGATGATCTAAAGGATAGCCATGAGCTGGTAACTTTGGAGCACCCAAATCTACTCCTCTTCCCTTCTTTCCTTGAGCACCAACATCTCCAAAGAATTTCCTCTTGGCATTTCGAGATTTAACTCCGCCAGAAACTGGAACTGCCATTGAAATATCATGTCAGTTATCTCTGCAAGTGAGTCGAAAAAAAGTAAACCCTACCAGCTCTCATCATTATAACTTTTGTCCTGGCCATTTCCTAGATTATTGGATTTAAAAGTATGAGCTCGAAATGGAATTTGACGCTAACTTGTAAACTAAACTTTTCAAGATCACATTTTTGACATCAGCCTGCTATATTTGTTTTAATGCAATCTCTAGCATTGTTATATTGTATGAGTTTTGTGGCAGGCCTTGAAAACGGTTTCAGCTGACAAGTATAATGCTATGCAAATTCGTAAATAATATGAAAAAATAATATTGATCACTCAAAAACATTATAGTGGCCATTTTTTTATGATTTGACCTGATCCCTTTCGATAAATGTTGATATAATCGCAAAGCAGATGATGTATTTGTCAAGTTGACAGAATTTTTCGCTCTGAGAATTAATTCGCGAAAATCCAGGAAAAATACATATAATAAGATGGAGCTGTTGGAGAACAATAAAACGCAGCAGGAAACGATAGCAGCGCAGACGAAGCTTATTGAAAATATACCACTGCAAATAGATGAGTTGCAGAGGCAAATTAATAAATTAGTGAAGAAGAGTTCCACAGTTAACAAAGTGGACACAGCAAACATGCAAGAAGATAGCTTTGAAGTAACGAAAAAAACGCAGATAGAAGAAGAGCTGCAGCAATTTTCCACCCCCGCCACGTAAGCCCAGCCAGTTTTTTACTTCAGCTTCATCTTTACTTCAAACAAATTTTTTTACTACTCAAAGTCTAACCAGATATTGACTCTAGTCAGAATACAAATTCAAAATCAAGCCCTCCAGGTTTGAGCACTACACCTTCGAGACTACCTCCATCAAAATCTATCTCAATCATGTGTTTCTCTTCGTATTAAAATTGAAAAAAATGCTGGAATTAGAATTAGCAATAAGACAGAGGATGATTATAGAAAACTTGTATGCTTTCTGAAAGAAAAAGAAATAGCACACCATACTTTTCCTCTCCTGGAGAAAGAGACATTCTCCCAGTTCTTAGGGAAATACCAACAATTGCGGATGAATGTGAAGTGAAGGAAGAGCTAATATTTCGACGTGGTTGTACGATCGAACGATCTCAATGATCTGGCAAAGCTGATTAGGGCATTAATTGCTCTTCCACAAACTGCCCTAAGGGCAGCCATTTGAATGTTGAATATTGAAATGCAAATCGTTTGTTTAATTGAAATCAACATAGAATACATTTTTTATTCAAAAATTGTGAATTGATCATAGTTTTTGATAAACAATAATGGAATGCTAGTAGCAAAAAGGTTATCACATGAAATAGCAATATTTTATAGGCTGTAGTTTTTGCCCTGTATATATTATGTTGAATAATACAATATAATCATGTTCCTCATCATCACTCCACTACTAATTTTCATATTGATATCACACAAAAAAGCTTGAGTTATAGAGTTTTAAAAACGAAACTACTTTTGTTTAATTTAAATGTAATATAAAAGCACCTAGCATCCCCTAGTATATCTTGGAAAACACTCAAGCAATAGCCACCAAATTCTATTCAGTAGGATAACAGCTCATTGTCCAATAAATAGCAATAACTGTGGTGTGTTGTGTTACAATTGAAAATTGAGAATATAAACACTCTTGAAAGGATGAGCCAATCATCCAAAGTAAATATCACTTGTCATCTGCCAAGGACTAAAAGTAGGTGATCCTAAACCCAGTCATACACAATATTAGTGCCTCATAATGTAGAGATATCTATATCCTAAATAAATCTTAATCCTACACATAGTGAATCTTACCATGTTGAATACCCATATCTGTGACTTTTAAAGTCCCTCCTTTTATCATAGCTTCATAATTAGGCTTAATATGAGTGAGATCAGAATTGATCAGTCCATACATATGCCCATCATCAGGATGATCTTCAAAAACAAACAGAATGTGGATATCTTTGATGAGTGCTTTCGTAACTGTGACATGCCAAGATGTGGTGACTCTTCTTGGAGTCGTGGTCAGTGCCTCCCAGTGATATTCTAGATAAGGAATGATCTCCTTATCTTTGCTGAACATTGTTTTGTTTGTGCCTTCTTTCAGACTCGATTGTTGTAAGTTTGCTATAGCTGTGATACACATTTGAAATGTTTCTAAAAGTAAATAGCAAGTGTTAGTAATCGATTTATTACTTCATATTTATTTATGCTTTTAGAATCTAAATATTGCTTGCTGCTCTTATTATTTAAGCCTATCATTCAAATCTTGTGACTTACGAGCTTGACTTTTCTTAAAAGTCTCCAGTCCTGTAGGTGAGCAATTCTTACACAAAAATACATAGTTAGTCAAAAATGGTACAAGCTTCCCTAATTGGTACCCTATACAGGATTCATGGAACCATCTATTGCAGTTGGCACACAGGAGTTCTATTATGTTCAAGTTTCGGTCTTTGCCGCTAAAATTTTAATTATTGTTGCAGCAGTTATTTCATTAATCAAGATACCCACCAATAACAATTGCCAGCCTCAACGTTCTTTTTTTCTGATTTATCAGCATCAAGTTGCTTGGAAAGGTCCGATTCATTCATTTGTTTTTCCTGGGATGTCATACTTGAAGAATCTTCATTTTTGTCACTTAAATGATTTAAATCAATAAGCTATAATGACAATATTATTGCAAAACTTACCTAAACTCTGTATCTTCTGACATTTCTAAAGAATATATAGGTTTTTTTTTATAAACTTTGTTTATATTTGGTTTTTACCGTTCAACAAACCTAACCTAAAAATCAGCTAAAGCCAGCGTTGCCAGATGGTTACGACTGAATTCCCCACAGGAGTGCGTTCATAGCAAGCAGAGTTAACCCTTTCAACTGACTTTAGACGTTCATCGAAGACTGTGATTTATTAAATTGTCAAATTAGTTAACTTGGAGCTAACCTTCTCTTACTAGACGTTTCGTGTTTTATCATAACATTACTTGTATTTAAAATAAGTATTTATTTGGTTAAGCCATCAGAAACAACGTCATCATCAAAATTCAAGTGAAATATTGTTTCTTCAATTTATCATTGCATTAAGCAATAGCTCTTTTGCAAACGAAGAAATAGTAAATCCTTTGCTTTATTATTAAACGGTCCATCAACCAAAACATCCAATAAAAATTATGAAATACGCAAGTTATCATCGTAAACTTATTCTCATTACCTAACACCTTTCACATCCGTTCATTGCAATACCCAACCCAACATCTACTTCACTCAATTTCTACTCTAAACCACTTCTATACTGCGAGTCTAAGTCAAACACCATTAACTCAGCCCTGAACAAAATGTTGGATTTTCAAAAAAATCCCCTAAATTACACTTCAATAATGGGTGGGAGGGAGTTAGGCTTTGCTTGGTTTCGTTTGAAGAGCGGGGGGGCTAAAAAAATATTTTCAGAAAAGATTATACATTTAGAAAAATTAATATACACCTCTAAACTGTTTCAAACTTGTTAAAACAACTTAATTCGGTTCTATATCGAGGGAAATCCGAGACAACGTCTCTCGTCTAGCTCTTTCTTGAGAAACATTGTGGAAAGCAAGGATAGCTAAAAGACATGTCTGGTTCATACCTTTTCTGTTTTTCTGTTCTATGACTATGGATGCGGACCTTCAAATCCACAATCGAGAAAAAGATGTAAATGCGGCTCAGAGTGTATGTTTTAGGAAGATAGGTGCGACCATGAGGAAAGATAAAATTGTTATTCAGCAATTGTCAGTTTTGTGTTTTTAAAAAATAAATAACACATCCAAAGATTTCTTTTCCTCTCATAAAAACCCCCAGAACAATGTATCCCCAACAATTCCCCCATGAAAGTGCAAATCTCTCAAATTTAAGAGAAAATTTCTCAATATGGCAACCCTCGCTAGAGATAGCAGCACTTGGAACAAGTCATCCTAATGCCGGGTCCACACCAAACCAACAAAACTGCAACTCAATGTTTTTCAGCAGCTAAGCAACAAATCGGCAACATTTCGTCAACAATTCGTGTTTTGATTCAGTTTCTGGCAACTTTTGGTGTTGTCGTCGCGAGTCGGTAAAGATCAAAAGGTTTCTGTTTTGTTTTCATTTCAGGCAACAATGTCAGTGCGATGTGTATTTTATTGAGAAACAAATATGAAACAGAAGCTAGTATCAAAAACTTACCTTAATATATACTTTGAGGCCTTCAGTTAGGGCATCATAAGTTTCCGGTATTATTATCGATATTGCTTGTTTTGATATTTTTGACTGATAGATACATCAAGCTATGGTAAGAGCCTCCGGTCACCAAAAATCTTGGTGTTACAACCAAACGTTCAACTACGTTAATGGCATTTCTGAAATTGGTGTTTTTTATAAATCTCAGGACCGATCAGCTATATTAATTCTTCAAAGTGTTCACTTTACATTCTTAAAAAGTTTTAGAAACTATAACGCATTTCTCTTCGCAATCCAATATCATCTTTTCGCAAATCGGACAATAATTTTTCAATATCACGATCATCTATTTCACGTAAGGATGGTTTCATCCAAAAGCGTTTTTTATTTCCCGGTCACAACTCTGGAGAAACACATATCCAGCAGACATTATGATAAAATCTTTGCGCTTGTGCCTTTTAGCATAAAAATGCCACCCACATATTTTCACTCTGGACATTTTTGGTGTGAACTGCACGAAACAAAATAACTGAAAACTTTCTTGTGTCTTGGCAATGTGGACTTAAGTTTTCATTTTGTTTTGTTTCTGTTTTGTTCTTTGTTTTTGTTTTGTTGCTTTGATGTGGACTCGGCATAAGATCGGTCGCACACGACATTGTTTTGTTCTTTTTCGTCAGGATTTGGTGGTCCGGATTGCCTTATGTACCAAGTTTATACGGATAAATGTCCGGGTTTCTCTAAACCATAAAAAAAAACAGATGTTGCACAAAGAGATTTGGTATGGTAATTCTATTAACAGCAAACATTGGCGGATTTAACGAGTATTACCTTTACAAATTCAACCGATAGGTTCTATACAATCCCGCAGTGGTCAATTCTGGTAAAAAGATGGAGCTCTGCGGTGTCTCAATTCCACCCAATAAACAAATATACTTGCTATGCATGTTCCAAGTATATCCTCTGCTAATCGCAATGTCACGTTCTGAACCCGTGCCAAAATTACATACCGCACATCAATTGATAACAAAACAAATTAACCATGTAGGTATTCATAATAAAATGTGTGTATCGGGGCAACGGCAACCTCTATTGGCTACCAGAGCTTTTAAGAGATAGTCGCAAAGAAACCTCGATAGTTCAGTATTCAGTATGTGTCCAAGGTGAGAATTGGGATCTCAAAAATTGTTAGAGCTACAATGGTGGTTAAATTAAGGAAAATGTGTGCAGTATACCTCTCACATGCAGGTTACAAAATTTCACTGCCATATTCCGATCTTGATTTTTTTTCAAATAAGTCAAAATCGGATAAAACGTAGCTAAATTATGTCATCGGCATGGAGAAAGTATTGCCTTTTTTCTCATTTAACCAACATTGTAGCTAAAACTATTCCTGAGATCGCGTTCCTTTTCTGGTTAAAAAGTTCTATGACAAATTAAATTCAAGGGGTTTCCCACAATCTATGTATGTACTTATACATTATTTTATAGGATGAATAGTTTCGACGTATGGATGCCGCAAATATTGGAAATACAAATTTTAGTACGTTGTATCTACTTTAATTTGCCGCACCTAGTGCTATATTTGTCGTAGAAAGAGTCTGAACAGAGGTGTTATTAAAACTTGATTTTGGACACCATTTGCCACTATATCAACAACAAAAAAGATACGAGGCAGAAAAACTTACCGAATTATAACTGTCCGAATATCATTTTTCAAAACTTTCCAAAACGCTCCCGGCAACCCGACCTTAGTGTGTCGAATGACTATTATTTGTATACCCTAAGTTGTAGGTATTGTACTCGTATAACTGTATAACCCTCTGAATTTTCATCCGCTACACTCGGGAACCGAAAAGGACCAGAGGAACGAAACACATCGCACGCCAATGCTAACGCGGCATCTTTTCGAATTGACAAATCGGCGTGCGCGTATTCACCGCGTTAGCATGTGCGTGCGCTGTGTTCCGCTGCTCTATTCCTTTCTGGTTCCCGATTATATGATGGATCATCTCGTAAAACAAGGGATTATGGACTAAAAATAATTACTGAAACATAAGGTTAAATATGTTTTTATTGTTTTGACTTATATCTTAAGAAGCCCTCCAATTCCTTGCAAGACGCCTTCTCTGGACCTGCCGATTAGCCCTCTGCTGCCATTGTTTTGATAGGGCTGGCCATCAACATCCACTCTCGCAAAGTATTGACCAGCTACTCTATTACTGGTATGTTCTCCCAGAACAATCCTCTGGTTATTATTGCAAAGTGATGAAATTGCTCTCAATGGATTGCTGCATTGTATGCCGATGTAGTCTTTGGAAGTGATTGTGTTGTTATAAATCACGACGGACTTTCCGTGACTACAGCTAACTGAAAAGTGCGTAATGTTTGTAGAAGTGTCTAATGTAATTTATAACAAAAAAAATTGCGGCGAAGCATTATTTTCACACACAAAAAATTAAAAATACTCGAATCAGGACATATTTCAATATATCCACAAAGCATTATGAACGATGGTACAGAGCACAAAACATTTACGCCCAAATTTGTCAAAATTACATCACAGAACCATAAAATATAATCGCTACTGAGGATACCTATGATAGTACTTCAGGTAGGGGTGTTGCCACACATTCACATTTTCTACCATCCTACCACAAGCGTTTTCAGCAAATGTTTGCATGTATTCAAAAGTATATACTCGTATATATATATAGGTATATATAGGTATATAAATATATACTAAGTGAAATATAAATCCGAACACCCAGTTTAAATGGTTTTATTTTAATAAAAGTTGGTGAATGTATTTGTAAATAACAAGTGAAAAAATGTTCAGCCTTATCAGTTGGACATTCCGGTTTTTATACTGCTTTTTTTTAATTCACTAACGCTCTAAAAATGAATATTTCAGCCGCAGTAAAGAATCAACGTTGGCGGATTTTGGTTCTTGACATCCTTTACGATCGGTTACGATGCCTAGAGTACGGAGACCTGTACGATTTCGTCAACTTAGTGAGTTTGATAGGTGCCGTATAGTGGGACTTCGGGAAGCTGGACTTTCTTTTCGGGCAATTGCAGTTAGAGTGCAAAGAAGTGTAGACACTGTGGTTAGGTGTTGTCAGGCATGGCTTCGAGAAGGCCGTACGCAAAGAGCAAGGGGCACTGGACGCCGCCGTAGAACAACAGACCGGGAAGATCGCCGCCTAAGATTATTGGCCTTAAGGGACCGTTTCTCCACTACCAGGTCCATTGCAAATGAATGGTTTGCAGAACACGGAAGACCTATTGGCATGCGAAGTGTCTACCGACGAATGAGAAGTTTTGGCTTGTTTTCATACCGGCCACACTGGGTCCTCCCTTTAACTCGAGAACACCGACGTAATCGCCTTGAGTGGTGCAGACAACGGTCACTCTGGGATCAGGAATGGAACAGTATTGTCTTTAGTGACGAGTCTCGATTTTGTTTAGGCATGCACGATGGTCGTGCTAGGGTTAGAAGGCGACGTGGTGAAAGGAGGAATCCACAGTTTTTTGTTGAAAGACATGTTCATCACACTGTTGGAGTTATGGTTTGGGGTACTATAGCTTATGGTTCCAGGTCATCTTTAATCTTCATCAGAGGTAACTTGCACGCGCAGCGTTATATCCACGAAGTTCTAGAGCCCCCTCTTTTACCCTATCTTGACACCCTGGCAGATCCAACTTTCCAACAAGATAATGCCCGACCACATGTTGCAAGAGTCACAATGGACTTCTTCCAACATAATGATGTCACATTGTTACCATGGCCACCAAGATCTCCCGACTTATCCCCAATTGAGCACCTGTGGGGTATGATGGGTAGGAGATTGCTCAATTTGCAACGTCCTCCTCAGACTCTAGAAGCACTTCGAGAGGAGTTGGTGGTTGCCTGGAATGAGATACCACAGGAGGACATTGACCACCTGATCGGAAGCATGCCTAGGCGCGTTGGAGAATGCGTAGCACATCAGGGTGCATCCACACATTATTAAAGGTCGAAGGGCTTTAAAGCAGTGCAATCATTTTAAAATTTTTATCATTTACTTATTAGGCTTCATTAAGTACTTATACAAAATTTTATTAAAATAAAACCATTTAAACTGGGTGTTCGGATTTATATGTCAATTAGTATATATATATATATATATATATATATATATATATGAGAAGTAGTCATTGCCAAAGCTAACGACCAGTTTGGCCCAAAATACAATTAATTGTTAATTGGGAAATTGGCAAATTTTTACTCTTAAGTTGACTCTTTTGACGATAAAACCATGCTTTCGGCATTCTCTATGGAGCCTTCATCAGGATTTCTTCGTTGAGGTTGCAGCCACAAGGTGTTTTAAAACGAACGTAGAGAAGATAGAACTTGTTATAAATATAAAAACAAAAGGAGGGAGATATTGGGCTTGTTGATAACGACAGATACCTTCATTACATGTTAAAAATATCAATATACCCGAACATATTAAAAATTATTAAACATGAGAAGACATTTTAGGGAAACAATCGGAATGCATAACAATTAATTATATATATAGGTGAAAAATTAAAGCTTCCGCTTTTTGTTGGGTACTTCGACAAAATTTAAGCAAAGAGGACTCTTTATACTTTTTTTAATTCTCTCTAGCTTTCAATGGACTTTGCCATCATCATCAGGAGCTGCAATTACAATGATAACAGTAGCAACAAAAGTGTAAAATGAATTTAAATTGAATCAACTTACAGTAGTATGTGAGGATGTTGGTAATTGTTGTTTTCGTATAGAATGAGGGAAACGTCCAGTAATATACGAAAACAACAATTAGCAACATCCTCACATACTACTGTAAGTTGATTCAATTTAAATTCATTTTACACTTTTGTTGCTACTGTTATCATTGTAATTGCAGCTCCTGATGATGATGGCAAAGTCCATTGAAAGCTAGAGAGAATTAAAAAAAGTATAAAGAGTCCTCTTTGCTTAAATTTTGTCGAAGTACCCAACACAAAGCGGAAGCTTTAATTTTTCACCTAACTGGTCTAGACGACAATGACCACGTCTCAAGTTATATATATATATATATATAGGGTGGCCCATCCATGTGTAGACGGAATATTACTAATAAACAAATACATGTTTGGAAAATATATTTATGGCATGTTATACATGATATTTGAGGGCACATTTCTAAAATATTGGCAATTATACAGGGTGTCCCAATTTTGATCTACATATCAAAGTTTTGATTTTTTAAATGGAATGCCTCAAATTTTATTGCATATTTGGATAAACCAATTCAAAAAAAGAAAATTGATGTAATATACTATGGGATTTTGGTAATTAGCTACCGAGATGTTAGGTGTTTTGTCCACTTCGGCAACCCCTCAATCCGTAATTTTGAAATTTGGAGTGCTGAATTTTTTAGCATTTATTTGTTTCCAAGGATGCCATATTTTAGGAGATTAAGCCGTTCCATAAAAGACGTGCTAATACCCGAAAAAATAGCCGTAAAAACCCTTACGTGTCTAGTATAAAAAAAAAGCTTATAAAAAATTGAATCCAAACTTGCACAAATATACAGAATGATGCATTTGAAATTTTTGAGAAAAACTACAATTTGCGGTTTTGAGCAAAAATTAAAATAAAAAAGTAACAAATAAGATAAAAGCTGAGGTGTATAGGTCTTTTTTTGATACAAAATTCAGCACTCCAAATTTCAAAATGGCGGACTGAGGGATTGCCGATGTGGGGGGGTTTTCTAGACAAAACACCTTATACAGGGTGGTCCATAAGTCCTTTGAAATTTCAAATTTGAATAAAATTTAACGGGTGAGCGTGAGCGGCGCGGGCGAGGTGGTGGCAGTATCTTCAGTGTCTGGAAATTCAGTCGCCATGGAGTGTTTCACTGGAGCGGATCGTGCTTTTTGTGTGCGCGCGTTTTATCAAAATAATGATTCGGCAACCATTGCGCGGCGTAAATATCGAGAATACCACAATTTTACAAAGTGTCCAATAGCTCAAACGATTAAGAACTGGGTTGCTAAGTTCGAAGAGACTGGTTCGACGTTAGATAAACAGCGGTGGGGTCGACCAAGGACAACTCGTATTGAAGAAAACATCAACATTGTGGCACAGTCTGTTCGTCAAAATCCTACCCAGTCTACTCGTAAGCGTTCCAGTGCACTAAACGTACCCAGAACATCTTTACAGCAGATTTTAAGGAAAGATTTACGTCTTCACGCTTACAAAATTCAGTTAGAACAGGAATTAAAAGATAATGACGCTATTCAGAGACTAAACTTTGCGAATGAAATGTTGAATCGATTTTCTTCGCTCAATAATGTGTTGTTCTCGGACGAGGCTCACTTCCATTTAAACGGGCATGTAAATAAACAAAATTGCCGTTATTGGAGCCCCGAAAATCCAAGGCGTAAGCATCAGAAGCCCTTACACAGCCCTAAAGTTACAGTTTGGGCTGCTATGTCAGCGCATGGCATCGTAGGCCCTTATTTTTTTGAGGACGACAGAGGTCGCGCGTTAACTGTTACTTCGGAGCGGTATGTAGCAATGATAGAAGAGTTTTTGACACCAGCGTTGCAGAATTTTCCAGGCTATAATACGCAGACCTGGTTTCAACAGGACGGAGCAACTGCCCATACCTCCAACACTTCTATGCCCATCGTCTGTCAACTTTTTCCCAGCAAAGTAATTTCTCGAAGAGGAGACATTTCCTGGCCACCACGTAGTCCAGATTTGACCACAATGGACTTCTTTTTATGGGGCTACCTCAAGAGTAAAGTGTACGACACCACTCCGCGATCAGTTGATGTCCTGAAAGAAAATATCCGAAGAGAAATGGCAAGCATTACAGTGTTGACTTGCCGCGCAGTCATCGACAATTTTAGACGTCGTTTATTGAGTGCGGTGATCGTAATGGATTGCATTTAGACGATCTGATTTTTAAAACATAATTCCCATTCAACAAAGATGATAACAAAATATAATAATTCTTCATAATGTAACTAGTTTGGTTTTATTCCTTTTTTTCCAGCTCAAAGGACTTATGGGCCACCCTGTATTTCAGTAGCTAATTACCAAAACCCCATAGTATGTTAAAGCAATTTTCTTCTTTTGAATTGGTTTATCCAAACATAAAAATAAAATTTGAGGTATTTGTTTATGAGTAATATTCCGTCCACACATGGATGAGTCACCCTATATATATATATATATATCATAGTTCAGTGGTGTAGTGGTAGACGTTATGGGTCTCCCAATCAGTCGCCGTGCGTTGCGCGGGTTCGAATTCCGTCCCAAGAGAATTCTTCTCTTGCTATGGATGCTGTGATTCTCCATAGGTGGTAGATGGTCTCTGACTGAAAGCGAAGGTACCACCCGGCGGATCTCTAAGCCGGTCCAAAATATGTGCATATTGCATGTACACGTGTTCCCCCCGCTAGAGTCCCTGTAGCGTCCCCTCTTTCCCTTGTATTGCCTTATAGCCCCACGGTACGCATGAGTGCTTAGGTCTTAGGCCTTCGTGGTGGCTTAAGTATAAAGAACATGCTTAATAGAACAAAATAGTTACAGATACAAATTTCTCACACTACCTCAGCGCACGTTCGAAACAAAGTAATTTCGGCAACAGCGCTGCTTCAAAACATCGTCACTGTCAATCCTGTCATCCTTGTTTATTTGTTATTTCATTTGTTCCAAGATTTGAGTGTTTACATTGGTCTACGGTGAGGTCCAAATTTGGCGGACGTCGTAATGTGTACGAGAGAGAAGCCCGAGAAGCGTCCAATATGTTGCAAGGCTGCGAGGTGCTTCTGTCTTTTTCTAATGCACGAATTGCACGCCTCTCGCGCTTCTTCCTCGTACACATTACGACGTCAGTGGTATTCGGTTTTCAGTGTATATGGTGCAATGAAAGGAAAATAAACCAGTTTTATTTTTTTGTATGAAAAGTAGTGCTTCGACGACAAAAATGTTTATTTTAAATTACAAAACAGACACTTCCACATTTGTGAAACATACAGATATCATTATATTGGGTGGAGGCATCAGCTTTACCGGCACAGAAAGCAGATTTAAAGTCAAGTTTTGAAATTGTAGTTCAAGTAGACATAGTCATAACATATGTACACATGCGCAGTGGAATTTTTGACATTTGACTATCACCCTCGTTTAACGTTTTCCTTTTTGATGTCTTTTGTTTTGTATGTTTTTCGAAGTTTTGTTAGGACATGCCTTCTTTTTGATTGGTCGGATTTACGACTATATCGCAAATGCTTCTTTTAAATTGGTGGAAAATATGAGTATCCAGTGTGACCACTCCTTGAACCAATACTCACACGCATCAAAAATATTTAGTTCCATACACCCAGGCTGTACAGGCCCTCCGAAATTTATGAAAAAGTCAGCATCTGCGAATGGTGCCAGGAATCCAAAAAACCCAACATTGGTGTGGATACTATCCACGTACGTTGCGTCATTTTTATTCACTCTTCTTGTGGATGGCAACTTCAAGGGCAATTCAAATAGTGGACCTGCTGCATCCAAGGCTGTCGGGAAACAAAATAAGAATTTGAAACCGTACACTGCTCTGAGAAAAAAGAAATCAATTAAACCAATTAACATTTTCATTAAGACAATTGAAAAATTTGGCAGCTAATTAGTTAAACTAACTCTGGTTGGTAAAACCGTTTACTTGAATCTATGAAACTAGACTAAATGACTCTAAACGCAATCGTTTAATTAAATTTATTAAACCGTTTACTTAGATTGACTACACTAACTTATTTAAAATTAATGAACCATTACATTTAATAAATTTGATTAGCTGGTGTAGGTAAAAGTATTTGCCTAGATTATCTTATTTAGATTTGAAGGTATATTTGGGTAAAATTTGGAATATAAAAGACCAAATTGCATTTTAATGAATTGTGTATAACTGTGCTCTGATAAAGGAAAGTATCAAAAAATTCGAAATCCTGCTAGTGATAATTGATATTTTCAAATCAGAATGAAAACTTCCGAATTTTGTATCCCTAACAGCTATGATATTTTTTATTTTCTTTGATTGTGAACTAATTATGTATGGGATCAAGTTTAACCAATTATTAGTTTGATTGTCTAGGTTATAATATAACACCATTCCCTAGAAGCAATCCGTTGTTTTAAATTCAGAAAGTAGGGAGAGGAATACCTCAAATCGAATAGGGCTACAAAATTTAGGCCAAGGAAAATTTTAGGATAGGAACAAGATATCGAGATGCGGTTTTCGCTAGCTGGTTCAGACATCAGTTAGCTAACTTTTCGTAAAAAAAATCATAACAATGCATTTAATTTTTTGAGAAAATTAACCAGTTCTGTCGGAATGTTGAAAAAAGTCCTCTAGCAGCTTCATCTGAAAGTAACAAAACTTCAAATATCATAACATTTGTAGCTCAAGAACAGCTCTTTTCAACTAGCCCAAGTTTGTTAAAATTGGCTCTGCCGTTTCGAAGATACAGAGAGTTCGAAGCGCGTCTCCGGTCCGGCGCCTCACGCATACTCCCGATTATTCACGAATGAAGAGTCAAGTCCTGCCGAGACTGCGATTCGAATGAACAGTTTAATTGCTTTTATTCAAATGGTTAAGTATTTGAAATATACGTTTTTGTACATAAACTAATAAACTACCTAAACTAAGGCTTTTTCACTTCTACTAACCTCAGGCAGTTCAAAAATCGGATTAACAAGGATTCTTTAAGCTCCTAGCCTACGCGGCTGCGGTATGAGCAAAATAATGAAACAGTTTAATAAAACAGGTAAATGGACTACTATTTTCAGAAAAACTAGTTTAATTACTTTACTATCAATTGGTTCCAGAAATTTCAGTTTAATTAAACCGACTAAATTACTTAGGATAATAAAAAAAGCATTACGAAGAGTAAGCATATTCCAGAAAAACTGTTCAATTGACAACGTTTCCTCAGTATTTATAAAGATTCGTTGAGATAAATGGCTGAGTGATGATCCAGTATAAGGTGGTTTGAAATGAATACTTCAAGAAGGAATCTTAGACAGACTCGTGCACTGTCGTTTATATTTTTACTTCCCTTGCCACACTGGCTAGGAAGTATTGTAATCGCGAAAAATTTCGAAAATTAGTTATTGTATTTTTTGGGCGTGATATTATAAATCTATATATATACAGGGTGTTTCAGTTTATTGTTGCATAACTTTAAGATTCGATAGAACTCTTAAAATTAATGCATAAAGTCTATATAAACATGGGTCGAAAAATGCGTGGCTTCCGAAATACAGGGTGTTTAGATTTACTTTCTAAAATAGCTTTTGTTAAATATTTCGAACAATATTTGATGCATAACAGTGAAAAGTGGTATACAAGGGTTTTTTGGTACGATAAAACGAACCATGGGCATAGTTTTACTGTAGCCGCTAGAGGGCGCTCTCTACTGTAGTGTATTAAAATGACCGAAATATTTTTCTTAGTGCAATTTTTTGCTTTTTGAATAAAAAAACTGATTCTTCGCACTTTTCAACATAAAAAAGTTCTCCTGTGAGTTTTCGTTATAGCTAGCCGTTTTTAAGATATTTCGATTTTTAAGGTTCGATGCATTTTTAATTATGGGAAAATAATATTTTTTTTAATATTTGCGATTTGGGCATTACAAGTAACTATGATGATCGTTTAGATTGTGTTTTTAAACCCAGCAATAATTCCTAACTCCAAATAAACACAAAAAAACAGAATATTAATTTGTTTAATTTTCCAATATTATTTTTAACAAGTTAAATTAATTATTTACAACTAAAATGCTATTGGATAGTTAGGACAAACATACAAAATCTAAAGTAGTTGCTCGAAATGTAAACCCAATTGTTCAATACACAATTCACATCTACGAATGATCGAACGTGGTATAGCATTATTCAAATAAGGCCTTATTTCATCACATGCATTCCGGATTCTGTCTATTAGCATATCTATTGTGGTTACGGGAGTCTGGTACACTTTTTCTTTTAGAAATCCCCACACAAAGAAATCTATTGAATTTAGGTCAGGGGATCGTGGAGGCCAGGCGACTGGTCCTCCACGGCCGATCCATCTTTCTGGATAATTTTCGTTCAGCCAGTTTCTAACTGTTCTCGAATAATGAGCTGGACAACCATCAAGCTGGAACCAGGCCAATCTTCTTAAATCTAACATAACATAATCCCACATATTTGCATGTTCAGCCTTTAAAAATTCCAAGAAGGTCGCAGCATTTAACCTTGCAGGCAAAAGGTAGGGTCCAAATAGTCGATTATGGTGGATACCAATCCATACGTTCACACTAAATTCATGCTGAAAATTTCTTTCCCGAACTTCATGCGGATTTTCATGCGACCAAATTTGTTGATTATGAAAATTTATCACTCCACGTCTAGTGAAGCATGACTCATCGGTCCATAAAACGTTACTTAAAAACTCCCTATTATTATCAGTTCTATCAAGAATCCACTGACAAAATGTGATTCTTCGTTCTCCGTCCCCTGGCTGTAGTCCTTGCACAAGTTGCAAATGGTAAGGACGTCTATGGTCATCTCTAAGAACACGGTGAACATGGCTTGCTGAAATTCCCAAGGCACCAGAATCTCTCCTAACACTTGTGGTCGGATCTCTATCAAACTCACGCAGAATCATACGGGTAAATCTGCGCTGACGAACATTTATGTTTTGATCCCTTTGGAGATTTCCAAAACCATTTTCAATTATTTGGCGATGCACTCTTACAAATACTGGGCGAGTTGGATGTCGTCTGTTTGGAAATCTTCGTGCGTATTCTCTGGCTGCTTCTGCTGCGTTTCCATTCACAAAGCCATACACAAAATGAATATCCGCTAACTCTTGATTGGAGAATATAATGGCATTTTTATAAAACTTACAAAAAAAAAACAGGTAAAAGAAACTAAATTTCGTGCATTCACAATTGCAAAAAACGTTTCAGGTTTCAACAGACAACAAAACTAACTGTCAACTAATTGACGTTTAACCTCATTCTGCTTTCAATTTCAAAAATATTTGCAGGCACAGCCTACTTCTAAAAATTATCGAGATACTGACTTTTTAACGTTATTTTATCATAAATAATTAAAAATGCATCGTACCTTAAAAATCGAAATATCTCAAAAACGGCTAACTATAATGAAAATTCACAAGAAAGCTTTTTTATGTTGAAAAGTGCGAGGTACCAGTTTTTTTATTCAAAAAGCAAAAAATTGCACTAAGAAAAATTTTTCGGTCATTTTAATACACTATAGGTACAGTAGAGAGCGCCCTCTAGCGGCTACAGTAAAACTATGTCCAGGGTTCGTTTTGTCGTACCAAAGAAACCCTTGTATACCAATTTGCTCTGTTATACATCTAATATTGTTCGAAATATTTAAAAAAAAACTATTTTAGAAAATAAATTTAAACACCCTGTATTTCGGAAGCAACGCATTTTTCGACCCATGTTCTATCGAATCTTAACGTTATGCAACAATAAACTGAAACACCCTGTATATGAGAGTACTCCTTGGAGTGTAATTCTATGAGGCTATTTGATTTCATGGCGTAATATTATATTATAGTATAGCATGAGCAAAGAGTAGTTATATCAAGGGAAGACACTGTCGGTCGGCCCCATTGACCTTGGAAGTCTTCATTATAGTAGGAAAGCCGATCGTGAAATTTTTATTACATCATCGCGTACTGATATGATACGATAAAAACTATTCAAAAACTCGGCAAGTTTGCTGTTTAGCATCAAAACAAGTAAGATTAGACTAGTTTTCAACATTTCATATCAGTACGCAATGTGACTGAAGTACTACTAAAACTCGTGTAGTGTTCTGCCTATGGTCCTAAAAGCTAAATAGCTATGTGATAACTGACATCAAGCTTTGACAATAGCTTCTATCACAAAACGTGTGATTTATAACTTTATTGAATGAAAAATATATTCTATAGGCTGCAAATGGATGATAACTACCCACACAATTAATAAATGTCCAAACAGAAGTAAATTTGAATAAAAAATGCGTCAACTACAAGTGATTGTCAATGAATTAATCCAAAAAGGATTATATATCTGGCAACACCGCATTTATCTCCGACTAAATGAGAACAGCCGTGCTTAGACCCCATCAGCTGTTTTGTGGACGCCATATTTTTGGAGTCATCTCCTATTTCTCTCTAATTTTTTGATATACACTTATGATCATGTATCGACAGCTATTATAGTCAGTTATCAAACATTGCTGACAAATAGTTTGACTCCATAGGTCCAAAGAAATGAGACTCCCGTTTACGGACACGCTAATTTCTGCAACCAGAGGAACTTTTTTCGTACATAGACCACATAGTGCATTACTGCCTCTGACTAAACCTACCTCTTTTTGATGACTACACGGAAAAGTAACTAGACGCTATATTTCAAAAAAGTTTATAAGCATAAAGACGTATGGAACTGAACTGTGTTTGTCATATTCACGTACCCGTGATCCTTCCCAGTTTTAATCCATTGGTCAACTGTTGGACATGCTTTCCGACAAATCCTGCAACCTGAGCACCCAACGAGTGTCCAATAATGTGAACATGGTCCAGTTTGCTTGAATCATTTCCTAGAGCATTTAAAATGAACTGTGCTACAGTTTCACCCACTTTCTTCGTGGCTCTGGCTGAATGTAGGTAGTTCCTTTTAGAGTGGGGTGACCAATCAACACCTATCACGTTGTTAATGCCAATCGAATGGTATGACTCTGCGAAATGCTTGATGAAGTCGTCGCTACCTAAATATGTAGTGATCACATTAGGTATTGTAATAATTCAAAAAATAATAATTACAATAATGGTGCTTATAGGAGTTCGGTCTAAAATCTATTAGCTATTACTATTGTACTTCGCAAGCCTACTAGCTACTAGCCCTACTTGAAGATTATGGAGTTATATCAACATGAAAACTACATAATAAGTTTCAGTCGTTGCATAAATGTTTTCATTATGAAAGCATTTTCGTCGCTAGCAACGTTTCTGTAGACCGCGTATCGGGTATACAAGTACCACGCATTTTTTAAATATATGAGAGACGGTGATTTTCCCAAAGGCTATTAACATCGCATCTTTTGTAGCCCTAGATAAGAATAACCTTCAAAAATATCGTCTATACATTTGTTTTATATCGTATTTTGGATATTTTATGACATGAACATCATGAAAAACCATGCGCCTCTTTTCCGACGGTCTGTCTGTCGAGTTGTCTGTCGTTCTGTCCGCAAATCATTTTGTCCCGACTGTAACTTGCAAAGTACTGCTCGGATTTGGAAGAATTTTTTACACAATCTTACTTGTCATCAAGGACGAAAAAGCGTTTCAGTTTTTGAATATAGGACCAGTGATGGTGGAGATGAAGGTCAACAAGGAATAAAATAAAAATTGTTCAAATTTAGTTTTTGAGGATCCTGATTAATCATTTTTGACAAAAAAAGAAGTGAATAATTAGCGGGTGGGGGAGAGTATACCTCAATTCCGGTAATTCTATGCACCTATTAGACATATTTCACACATCATAGATTTCCCGATACATTTGCACTTAAAACAGAAATCTTCAGCACACATATCGCGTACCTATCTGTCGCACTTGCTGTGTACCACGATTGTAAATATTGCATCTTTGGCAGTGGATGCTAGAAGCATCTAAATGTAGCTATAACATACGAGGTGGGTACGATATTATCTATATTATGTTTGGAGGTTGCTTGATTTCGTGAGGTAATATTATATAGCATAGTATGGGTGGATTTGATAAAAAGACAAGCCGTTATTTTCCACCAATCACATCAAATATGTGTCATATTTTATAAACCAATGACATTTGAAGCATTAGAAATAATAGCTGTCCATTGCACTACATGGAATTATGAGTACTAGTTGTTTCAAAAGCATGGGAAGTGTCATTCTTCTTAAAGCTATTTTTTCAACTAATAGACGCTGGTTTAAACGAGATGCCTGTTATACGTAATATTTTATTTTGCATATTTAATTTTCTCAGAGACCACTATATTCTAATTTCTATAGAACAGTGCTTGTCATATCTACTAAATATCCGAACAACTCGAATAATCTTTTTAAAAAAAGGGTTTTAACAAAAGTTTCAGCGCGTCAAAATAGTAATTTGTCGATGCTGATATGACTTAGAAGTCAAGTTCGAATATTCAAATAGCAACTATTATTTTTGATAGCACATCCTGGTAGAGCGGGAAATTCTGCATCAGATTTCATACTTAAACCTAGCGCTGTCAAAAATGGTGGTTGCTATTTCTTCATGGTGGCCAATATAAAACTGCCAATTTTGATACCCGCATTTCAGTAGGTGACGCCGCAGTAGTTGTTTGAGGCACATTTGTCCAATTCATCATGGAGCGCTACACGATCCCACAACGCGTCCGTATTGTTAAAACGTTTTACTTAAATAATGACTCTATTGTTGAAACGATTCGGAAGCTACAACAAGATTTCGGTCGAAATAATGTGCCCAGTGTCAACACCATTCGTCGGTTCGTGCGGAAATTTGAAAAAACAGGTGGAGTTAAAGACTTGCCAGGGTGTTAGAACTGTTTGTACCCCGGAAATCATCGAGAGAGTTCGTGAAAGTGTAGTGGAGCGCCCTGAGATGTCTACCAGATATCGTTCTCAAGAACTGGGTATCCGTCGCACGTCATTATGCACTATTTTAAAAAAAGACTTGCATTTGCGGCCATACAAAATTTAGTTAACCCAAGAACTAGAACCTAGTAACCATGAAAGTCGCCGACAATAGTCATGCAATATTGCAGCTTAATGCACAAAATAACGATTTTTACCGACAACTGATAATGAGCGATGAAGCCCACTTGGATATGAACGGATTTGTTGATAAGCAGAATTGTCGTATCTGGTCATTAGAGAACCCTCGTGTCATCCATCAACGACCACTAAATCCTCGTCGAGTCACAGTTTGGTGCGGTGTTTAGTATGTAGGTGTCATTGGACCTTACTTCTTTGAAGACGCTGCAGATAATTTCTTACTGTTAGTGGCGAGCGCTATGGTGGTATGTTGCAAAACTTTCTGGCTCCTCAAATCCAACTGTTTAACCTGCAAAACATGTGGTTCCAGCAAGACGGAGTAACTTGCTACACAGCTAGGGAAGCAATGAATCTTTTGCGAACAACATTTCCGGGACGTTTAATTTCTTTATTTGGTGATGTCATTTGGCCGCTAAAGTTACCGGATTTAACAGCTCCTGAATTCTTATATGGGAATTTTTTAAAAATAGGGCTTATGCCAACAAACCAAATACTGTAGAGCAGCTGAAGAACAATATTACGGAAGCGATTGAAAATATTCCTCCCGAAACCTAACAAAAAGTGATAGGAAATGTAATCAAGAGGGTTCAGGCACGCGCGGATTCGAGAGGCGGACATTTTTGTCTGATATTATTTTTCATACATAATTTCTAAGTTGCAATAAAAGATTAAGATGAAAAAAAGTGACGTAACATATCGGCCACTCTGTATTTACAAACTTGACCTCAAATGATATCTAGAGTCTAGATCATATTTCGGGTTGAAGTTAAATTGCTTTTTTCATATCCTAAGTTTCGTCTGATTGATATTTCAGAAAACTGCTTGGTTAGCAAGTTTTCTGAGGGTACAGTCTACAAAAAACCAAAGTTCCCCAACTTTGATTAACAGACAAGTTTAAAAATCGTTATAAAATGAAGTAATCTCAAAGTACCCTTCGGGATAGTGTAAATCAAGGTATAAACTTTAAGTTAGATATTTGCCGACCTTAAAAACTATAATTTTTAACCGAGTTTTTAAGCATTGAATATACATGTTTTTTGAGCTTTTCGGACTTAAATCGCTTATAACTCGAAAATGGTCAACTTTAGAGAAAAGTTAACAGAAGCCTTTTTTGTTTCTGAGTGATCCAAGAAAAACCTGAAAAAATTTGTTCGGCCAAAAAATGCAATCTATTTAAAAAATTGTTTGAGGAAATTTGATCTGGGTTGCCGTGCGGGTATTCTCATCGCTTCTAAATTAAATTTTTAAGCATTGGTCTTAAATACACTGAGGAGTATATTGAGCATATTTTATTTTAAAGTGATTTAAACCTTGTTTATCAGGCCAAAATTGTCGAACTTGTGCTTTTCGCAGACTGTACTTGATAGACGTTACAGTAACATTGTAGCATGATCGCTTTAACCATTTGAGTGAAATAAGAAACATCTCATATGCTTCACCTGTTGACTGCCACCCATGGATGGCCACCTTCAATGGACGATCATTGCTGACGTCAAACCTTGTCTCGTTTATCTTATATTTAGTCGTAGTACCATCTGGAAGATAATGGAGGAAATTCACCTCTCTATAGAGGACTTCATCGAATCCAAAATTTGCAACGACATCCAACAGTTCTTCAGCTGTCACATTGAGCAGATGTTGCAAGAAATACTGCGGTGTAGGGAGTTTGGATAGATCTGGTAACTCTGGTATGTTCCGTAGTTCAGGTATCTCCGGTAGCTCAGGCGGCCCTGGAAGGCTTGGTAGGGGTAGATTTGGGTCTGACAGGGAATTTGAAGGAAATGGAAGTCTTGATCTTGTCATGTTGGCTAGTTGCGAGAAGGACAATTGCCCTAGAATTGAAATTCCATATAACTATAATAAACGTCAAAATCAGCTCTCCGTTGATTTGAGAACGCTTAATGTTTTTACTTTCCTAACTATGAATGTGCCACTTTATGTCTTTCTAGATTTTAGGCATGCTATTGATCTCACATTCTCGAAAGGTTTGCAGTTGGGATTAACGGAAAAATCATTTCTACGTATTTTACTAGAACGCTGTTATTATGTGAACATATTGGACTAACTTTGTGATCAAAATATCTGCTCATATTACTTGAACTATGTCTTATAAAGGTCTATCATTAGAATGCTTCTTCCAGGTTGTCTAAAAAATGTCCACATGTTTTCACACCTGAGCTATGCAGTCGAATTTCTTCTTTTCCCCTTCCCCTTCTCAACAAAAAGTGATAATTGATCCATTGAGTACTAAGAATTCCGGACGCAAACTCACTCCACTCTCGGAATGGTGGACTCAAGGGAACAACATACATAATAAAATCTCCTTCACGACCATCGGCGGGATTAACAGCAACAGTGATGCTGTTCATCACTATCTGCAGACTAAAAGCCCCGCCATGCTTTTCTTGGTGGGGACCAATTCCGGCACGACGAACCAACTTAGCTTTTCAAACTACGGGTGCATTCGAATCTGAGAAAGAACGAGGATAGTTGTGGCTTTTATCTGCAGCAGGCTTTTCTGCTCCAGATACGTTTCTTAGGCATCAGGCTGCCTCTACTCCAAACCATACTCCCAAATTTATTTGTTGCCTTTGTCAAGATCGACTTCCTGAACATTACTCACCCTGCTTCAGAGATAGTTCTGCTCGGTGATCTCAATGCCTATAATGAGCTTCAGCTGGGCTCAAACAAGACCGATGCACTAGGTCTTGGTGTTGAAGTGTTTGCCACTACCCAAGGACTGACCTAACTGGTGAAGAGCCCTATCCCCCCCACGTTTCGTAACACGCCAGTAGCCTGCGGAATCCGTTTCTGACCACGAATTATGTCTCTTACAGTGATGCAGTTCTGGCTTCTCTGGGTAACTGAGACCACAGTGTTGTAGAGGTTTCGGTCAGTATCGGCTGTGAAAGCAGAATTGCATTAAGGCCATGCTGACTGAGAAGGTCTTTGAGACTTTTTCTCCACCGTTCCTTGAATAGATGGTTGGTTCGCTAACTTCGAGGCATCGGCTGTCTGGTCATCATTAACAGAAATTATCCAGTTGGGATGGAAGCACAGATAAGCCGATTTCCAGTCCAGAAATAATTATAACGAAGCGGTTCGCAATGCCAAAGACCAACACGATGTAAAAATGAGGCGCAGGTTAATGCCGCAGTGGAATGGCAGTCGGTCTTTTTCGACGCTAACCCAGCAGATTCTAAGGAAATTTCCAAATAGTAGAATCCCACCGCTTACGATCCAGGATGGAACGATTGCAACAAAATCAAATGCTTAGGATGAAGTGCTAGCCAAGATCTTTGCCTCCAGCTCCATTACGGATCTCCCCGCCGTCGATTCAAAAGGTTGCATACACTACGCGGGAAGTAACCTAAAGGCACTATTCCGTAAGACGTTCGACATCAACAAAGCTTCTGGTCCGGGCTTGATTGCTGTTGTTGTACTGAAGAGATGTGCAGCAGAGCTTTCTCCAGTTCTTCGCATCCAGATATCTTGGAACCTGGAACTTTCTCAGGAAACTGGACATTTACTGATGTTCAGCCCGACTAAAAAAAGGATCAAAGACCGACCCTTACAACTACAGGCTTGTAGTTCTGCCTTCTGTCATAAGTAAGGTACTGGACATGTGCATAAATCGGGAGCTTCTGGAGTACCATGAACTGCACGGCACGGCTGAGTGGCGAGCATTGCGATTTCCGGCACCAGCGATCTCCGGGGACCTCATAACTTATGTCACGAAAATGTGGAATAAGCTCATTCAATCTTACGGTGACGCTCATTACGTTGCTATTGATATCACGAAAGCTATGGAATACTGCCCTCTTATGCAAATTTTCATTCAATGGGTTCCCTGAGAAGCTTTGCAGATGGGTGGCTGACTGCCTCTCTGGCCGCAAGATATCCAACGTAACAGCAGTTTCTCCCAGTCATCCCAAAGATATATCGAAGGTGTTTGGTTCCTACATTGTTCCTCTTACATGTCAGCGACCCCTTTTCCTATTCGGTCAATCCGATCCACATCTACTGATGACAGCACTCTAAATGCAGAAAAAGACTAGCAACGAATTCCTCTCTGACGAGAGACCTTGAGGTTATCACTGTTTGGGGACGCAACAATCTGGTACAGCTTTTGCTTCCAACATTACAAAATACTAGGACAAGCAGGGTCTAATTGAGGTTTCAGAAAACCACAACAAAGCATTTTTCCTAAAATGAATGTGAAGCATTACTTTTCATTATCATTTCTTGCCTTTGTTTTATACTCGTATTTCTGTGGTAGTAATCAGTTTACTAGAACTGATTTGGTTCCACAGTATCAAAAGTGTGCAACATTCAAAATACAGTAAAAGCGACCGTGAATATATACGTAAAGCATTTGTGTTGGCGCTTTGTTATTGTAAATATTATTACTTTATAATCTTATTGTACTAATCACAAAATATTTTGTAATGCGTATATCTTATGTTGCTTAATCGTATTAGTTATATAAAGTTTTCCCTAATGTAATCGTCCTATAAATATGTATACTTGCAATTTCCACGCGAATTTTGATTGGCAACAATCAATAATCATTGTCAGTAAAGATAAGTTCATTATGATTTATTAATTCATCTCATGCACTTATACACGGTAGATAGATAGTGATTTACTCGGAAAATCCACATCATCACAGCAGTGTACTATGATTGCATTTCATATGAGCTAAAACCATAATTTGTTCATGCACAATGCGTACCCAAATACATTCTTCAATAACCTTGAAGAAGGTGAACAGAAACTTGCATATTTCTCATAAAGAAATTTCTTGAAATAAGTTCAAAAAAAATGCTTAATATGGCTTAAATTCAATAAACATGCTAAGCCTACAGCCTTTATTTTGCTTTTATCAATTTATTCTAGAAATAAATACGAACGCCTAAACTTAATATTTTAATAGAATGGCTTGCATGTAAATGGTCAATTTTTTCGAATGCTTTGACATGAAAAATTTTTCTTTAACTAGCCAATGATCAATTTCAGAGAAGATTTACTAATAGTCATTTATGGTTAGAATGAGCAAAATAACTCAAATACTTTTGATGTTGGGTAAAAATATTTCTTATAGCAGCCGCGCAGACAGAAGCCTAAATGAGAGGCTGGCTATGAGGAGCCTAAAGAAATTGTTTAATGTGATTTTTGAATTGCACAAGATTACTAGATCTGAGTATAGCTTCTCAATGTAGACTGTTCCACAATTTCGATACCCTAGGGACAAAAACCAGGGCCGTCTTAAGCCATGCGGGAGCCCTGGGCCCACAGGAGCTTGGGTCTCCCAAAAAAATCGAAGACAGGCGTACTTCTAATAAGACATATTTATTGAATTACAAATTGCCTTACAACAATATTATGGGTTTTTTTCGTGATTGCATTTTGGCAAAATCTTCAGTGATGTCAAACTCCAGTTGCTGCAAAATGTCACTCTCTACGAGTATAGACATAAGGGACAAACTGGTGAGGCGTTATTTGACATGGACGTTCTTGATTAATTTTTTGCAGGTAGATTACAGTAACTTAGGCCCGTATCGTCAGTCGTCCCTACAATTGTAGGGCGCCTTTATGGCCTCCTTGATTGTCATAGTTTTATACTTCTCCGTGTCAACGCTCTATTTTGAGGTTATGTCACAAACATCTATTTGCATCAAATTGTGCTTGCTTTTGAGTTATATCATGTTTTATCAGCCTGAAATTTCCTACAATTTAAAAGAAAACATATCTTAACAATAGGAGAACGCTGGCGCTGACACGGGACGAGTGTAATCTAGAAATTTTTGAAGGAGAGAAAAGAGTATGACAATCAAGGAGGCCATAAACGCGCCCTACAATTGTAGGGACGACTGACGATACGGGCCTTAAACTAGAAGTTCCAGGTTTGATCAGGCGGTGATGTGTGTGTAGAGTCTGTAGAGATCTTTATACTTGAGCTTGGTGAATGACATTCACTAATTATTTCTTCTACGTTAGATATACACTCACTTTCTGATTCTTGTTTGAAGGTATCTTGAGACGAGTAAACCGAAAAATCAACTTGCCTGTTAGTTTCCTCACGTGTAAAAAATGATGTTAGTTTTGGTAACTTGCTGGCATTTTCTTTATGAGCTGCAGTTTTTTTCCTTTTCTCTGAACCACTCAAATATATTCTTTTCGACATACTGATAAGAGATCATACGCAATTCTTTACTATTTTTGCTGGATAACTTCACTGATGAAGAACTAGGAAAGCAGAAAAATAAACCGCGCCAAAAGTCGAAGACATGAACCATCGTCTATCTCTTTCTGACATGTTCTGATCTGATTCAGGCTTCGTTCTAACAAAGCCGTGTACCGTACAGTGAATCATAATGAGCGTGCGCAGTACGTTTTAAGTGATACTAAAAACGTAGTGCGCACGCTCATGACGGTTCACTGTACTATATATCGGAACAAAGCCTCTGAAAGTACGTCCGCCCAAGAAGAGGGCACTCAACGGACCGAAGAAATAGAAGAAGAAGCCGAGAAGAGGACGGACGACACCGATTTCAGTGTCGCCACCAGACGGAGGAAGCGGGTGCGAGTTTCCTCCTCCGAAGATGAGTCACCAAGGCAGCCAAAGATGCCAGCTGCCGCCACCAAGAAGAGTCCTAGAGCAGCCAGGACCATCGTGCCCCCCATGGCAGGAACAGGAGTTCCGCCAATCAATATCGAGGGCACCGCTGATTGGTCATCCTTAAGCAGGATGATGAACAGCAAGGGGATTCAATTCTCCAAGGCGAGGACGGCGGGTACCAGTGTGAAGGTATTCACAAATACACCAGCTGACTACCGTCAGCTAGTCGCACTGCTGGAATCCATCAAGCGGCCCTTCTTCACCTATCAACTGAAGGAGGACAGGATGGACCAGAGGGTCATTCGTGGGCTACCCAGGGAGATGTCAGTCAATGACATCAAAGAGGATCTAGTGAGCCAAGGCATCGCAGACGCCGAGGTTCAGCAGATGACCTCAAGGACCACCAAGAAGCCACTTCCGCTCTTCCTCGTCAAGACGAAGATGCCGGAAAAGCTTGCAGAGATCAGAGGCTGGCCATGCTCACGGTCAGCTTCGAGAGGAAGAAAAAGTCTTCCGAGCCCAGCCAATGTTACCGCTGCCAGCGGTACGGGCCACACAGCGGAACTGCTGTCTCGCTGAACGGTGCGTTAAGTGTGGAGAGGACCACAACAGCACCAGCTGCAGTCTGCCAGCGCCGCCAACAGGGCAACGAAACGCCAAGTGTTGCCTCTGTGGAGAAGGCCACCCCGCCAACTACAAGGGATGTAGTAAGGCCCCGAAGAAAGCTGCTTCTGCCCCCAAAGCAGTCCCCACCACAAATAGGACTTCTTACGCTCAAAAAGCGAATAAACCTATGCCACTGGAAACTACTGCGCAGAAGCAACACGGCGATGACAGACTGCTAGCAATGATGCAAGCCATCATAACCCGCCTGGATGCACTCGAGGCCAAGATGCAAGACAAGCACTAGACCCGAAATGTCTACAGGGCAAAACGTAGAATCTCTACGCATTATCTCTGGAACATCAACGG